CACGTCGTAGAAAGCTGGAGAAAGTTTGGTGATAGTCCCAAAACACAGTTGCCACCATAATGGTCCTGACATTGACCATTCCATTACCTCCCTATAACCCGTTTGCCGATTTATATAATTTGTTTCATTTGCCCTTCTAACTTTAACAAACATTCTTACATTTATTACAAGTTTCAGTGAAAGCGCATTGCGGGGCTGCCTGTTCCTTCACCATCCACTGGATAGGTGGTGTGGGATGAAGGTGCATCCCCCCACCGCCACACTGTATCTCAGTGTCGGGTGAATGACATCAAAATACAAGATTATAAAGTACAAATACGAACACTTGCCCATGACGAGCAAGACTAGTAACTGTGTGGCTCACCATAGATGTAAAGTGCCTTGTATAGTGACTTGTGAGCCTCTTGTTGAATCACTTGATACAAAAAAAATTATCCATGTGTAATTAATCGTGTGTATTATTATATATATATATATATATATATATATATATATATATATATATATATATATATATATATATATATATATATATATATATATATATATATATATATATATATATATATATATATATATATATATATATATATATATATATATATATATATATATATATATATATATGCGAACAAGCCTGAATGGTCCCCAGGACAATATGCAACTGAAAACTCACACCCCAGAAGTGACTCGAACCCATACTCCCAGGAGCAACGCAACTGGTATGTACAAGACGCCTTAATCCACTTGACCATCACGACCGGACAAAATGAGGTGATAGCCGAAGCTATTTGAACCACCCCACCGCCGGCACTCGGATGGTAATCTTGGGCATAGCATTTTACCAAATCACCTCATTCTTTGGGGCACACGTGAGGAACACAAATGCGAACAAGCCTGAATGGTCCCCAGGACAATATGCAACTGAAAACTCACACCCCAGAAGTGACTCGAACCCATACTCCCAGGAGCAACGCAACTGGTATGTACAAGACGCCTTAATCCACTTGACCATCACGACCGGACAAAATGAGGTGATAGCCGAAGCTATTTGAACCACCCCACCGCCGGCACTCGGATGGTAATCTTGGGCATAGCATTTTACCAAATCACCTCATTCTTTGGGGCACACGTGAGGAACACAAATGTGAACAAGCCTGAATGGTCCCCAGGACAATATGCAACTGAAAACTCACACCCCAGAAGTGACTCGAACCCATGATTTGGTAAAATGCTATGCCCAAGATTACCATCCGAGTGCCGGCGGTGGGGTGGTTCAAATAGCTTCGGCTATCACCTCATTTTGTCCGGTCGTGATGGTCAAGTGGATTAAGGCGTCTTGTACATACCAGTTGCGTTGCTCCTGGGAGTATGGGTTCGAGTCACTTCTGGGGTGTGAGTTTTCAGTTGCATATTGTCCTGGGGACCATTCAGGCTTGTTCGCATTTGTGTTCCTCACGTGTGCCCCAAAGAATGAGGTGATTTGGTAAAATGCTATGCCCAAGATTACTATCCGAGTGCCGGCGGTGGGGTGGTTCAAATAGCCTCGGCTATCACCTCATTATGTCCGGTCGTGATGGCCAAGTGGATTAAGGCGTCTTGTACATACCAGTTGCGTGGCTCCTGGGAGTATGGGTTCGAGTCACTTCTGGGGTGTGAGTTTTCAGTTATATATATATATATATATATATATATATATATATATATATATATATATATATATATATATATATATATATATATAATATATATAATATATATATATATATATATATAATATATATAATATATATACACACATTACAAATATATATGTATATATATGCAACAATGATCACAAAAACACTGATCCAAGTATGCAGAATAACCACATATGAAAAAAAGAAAATGCTTAACGCGTTTTCGGCTAATTCGCCTTCATCAGAGCAAAGTAGAATGAAGATAAGTTTGCTGATCAGACCTTTATATCCGCCTGGGCAGATCACCTGACCACCAAAAATAAGTGGAGGAAAGGAATTATAAGAAAGAAGGTAACTGCAGAAGGCCTATTGGCCCATACAAGGCAGCTCCTTTTAATATCTCCATAATATTTTCTGCATGTATATATATATATATATATATATATATATATATATATATATATATATATATATATATATATATATATATATATATATATATATATATATATATATGATAACCATCTTTGTAACCCATATGTAACTCCTTTTTTGTAACAAAGTTCAAATAAAGTAAATATATATGTGTACATACAAAAGAATGGGTTCACAAACACAAACTCACAAACAAACTTTTTCACAAACCTCACAAACTTTTTTATTATATATATAATATATTATATATAATATATTAATACAACATTAATAAGTGCATAACTAGCACCAAAAGATTGTCACTCGCTTAGCTAAATGAACTCTGGGGTTCAGTTTCTGAACCGATAATGTGACTAACCCTTTCCACCACCGCCCACGGGACGGGTATGGGGTGCATAATAAAGAAGACATTGAATTGCGCGTGAAGTTATTTGGGGCCCAGATCCTGACCCCTCAACCACCGCCCATGGCTGCCTATACACAGCCCAGGGGGCGGGCCCAAAGAGCCAGAGCTCAACCCCCACAATCAAAACTAGGTGTGTATAGCGCGTTAACAAACTACGCCAAACTACTTAAATTCTCATATTTAAATTACATTTTTTTCTTTTAGCCTAGCTCGTCAAACTTGTAATTTGCTTAGCTAGACGAATAATGAGGATCAGTTCGTGAGCCCATTATGTGCCTTTGTAACCTTTCCTCCACCACTCGCAGGACGGAAATTACGAAGAAATTACAAAGAAATTGCATTACAAAGAAATTGCATTACAAAGAAATCTACATAACGTTTTCCGTAGAACGCGAAAGCCTCTTGTTAACGAGCGCGTCTTCCTGGGGGCGGCTCTTAAATTAACCGAGTTTGCCATCCTTGACCAAGTGTAGAGGGCGCAGTAGACGGGAGCCTCGCTTGATGACGGAGACACCACAACCTCCACCGACCTACATCCCTGGCACGAGTGAGTCACACGCGTGTCTGGCTCGCTCCTGTACCTCCACCACCACCGGCTGCACCACCACCACCACCGGCTGCACCACCACCACCACCCGCTGCACCACCACCACCGACAGCACCACCACCACCGGCAGCACCATCACCACCATCACCACCGGTACCACTACCACCGGCAGCATCACAAGCAGCAGGAGCATTATCCACCCCCTCCCCCCCACCCTCCGTCGCTTTGTTAATAATTCGTAAACTGATATAACTATAATAGTTATTTATGCTGTTATAATATACTTTGTGGAAAAAAAATTGTGGGAAAAATGCTGCTAAAATTATGATGTTGCTGGAACAAGCTGAGAAATAGCCTCAAGAATTAAGAATTGAAACACTAGAGAATAGCACAAGATTGGAAATAAAATATAGAAAGCGAGAGAAAGAGAAATTTCGATGACGCGCAAGAAAAAAATTTGCAAGGTGTTTACACTATGTCAAAGTGTTGACCGGACCGAGCAATCTCGGTTTCTGAGCCAAGGAAAACTCTCAAGATTGGGAACCCGTTTTCAACCGTCTCTAGGCCTCTGTGAAGCATTATAGACATGTGCTAGCCTCACATGGCGCCAATGGATGTCGAGGACTAACTAGATATAAAGCATATTATAATATCTAGATTCACAAGTCGTTAACCAATCAGCTAACTATCGTGGTTGCCTCTAGACGCAATGGTTTATTTACCCGTTACGTTAAGGCCGTAGAATAGTCTGTTTACATTCAGTATCATTCAAAGAAAATGACGGTGGAAAGAGATTGGGATGGGGTAAGAGGGGAAACTCAGACTCTCGAATCCCCAATACTATTTCAGTGCAGCTCAAATGAGTGTCATGATTTTCAAGATAATCGGAAATTTGGTTTGCTCAGTGTTCCTGCAAGCCTCCTTTTCCCCCATAACCACCTCGTAGACGCCTTATGACATTGACCATCTTGTGCCTGTTTACTCTAGTAATGGCACCCTGGCTGATTAACCCGGCCTTTCGAATAGTACATGGCATTTAGAGTATAGATCCCCTAAGGAAAAAAACTGACGCTAAAAATTGCGGCTCGCAAAACTGACACTGTTCCGTTTTCTATTCGTGGATCCTCTGTTAGGTTCTGGCAATTTATTAAATCAGTTTAGTGACGCTGGGAACGCTCGAGAAGACTGGATGGATAACTAGGTACTCTTGAATAAACTACCCGGATATCTACAGTAGGCACTATCTGAATGATATCTACAACAGGTATTCTTGGATAATCTACAACATAGGTAGGTCTAAATAGCTGTACTGGCCTTGTTTTTTCCGTTCGGAAAATATCAAAATATTTATTGTTTATTTATTTATGGCAGTATCTACTATACATATACTATAGGCCTAACATTCCACCGTTATGGTTCACTATTTTCGTTAACAGAAAACGTTCACAATTGGCTTATCCTGCCCGGGAGTCTAACCCGGGACCATTCTGTCGTGAGCCGACTGCTTAGATTACTACCCTATAGGTCATCTGGGCAAGTGTCTTGAGAAGTACTGGAAACTTTACAAGAAAAACTTAGAGCGTCATCTGCCCCTCGAATCAAGCCCAACCACTTGGGGTCTCGCTTTCATGCCCGGCGTTCAATCCCCTACTATCCATGTGGTAGGGCACCATTCCTCCCCCCCCCCCTTCCTCCCATCCCAAATCCTTATCCTGATCCCTTCCCAGTGCTATATAGATGGAATGGCTTGGCGCTTTCCCCCTGATACTTTCCTTCCCTGCCCCTCGAATTCTAAAAACGCTATCTCGAGATGATTTCGGGGATCAGTGTCCCCGCGGCCCAGTCGCTGATTAGGTTTATATCAGCCCGTCCTCCCAAGGTTTCCCAACGTCAAGAAACTACCGCACTAGAGTGCCTCCTAACCTACCCGAGGACCCAAAACAGACAACAGGACAATATGTCACTTTCGCGAGCCGCTACCATTTTCTAGTACGACGATTTTTTGGCCTTTTGGCCTTAGGTAAACTATGCGTCAAAATGCGACGCTCTATTAGGAGAACGGGTTGAGCCATATTATTCTTCTTGCTGGTCCGTACAGTTTGCATGAAAGGTTTATCCTCCCTTTTGCCCGAAACACTATGCGTACTAGTGGCTTTAGGTATTGTATGTACTTGCTCTATAAATCAATCAGAATGTTTGTAACTTCATCTATGTATGTACTTTTCCTAAATAAAGTATTATTATGACTACACAGAGCCATATTTACAGTCAGTGATCATCTCGGGCTGCGGCTGGCAGCGAGGCGTCCGACCCCGCCACCAGCCGCTCTGCTCACACGTAACTTCATGAGCTAAACCACAATATTTGTGCCGCCTTCACCGACCTCTTTATGTAAACACTTAACAGCGACGACCAGGAGAAGCTAAAACCTGAACCAGAAGAGAATTATGAAGTCATAGACGTCACATACTTTGTGTTCACCGTATGTATAAAAAGAAAAATATTTTTTAATCTTATTTTGCTTAGGCTAGTTAGGTTGCATAGGATAGGATAGGGCAGGTTGGGTTAGTTTGGGTTTGACTTGTGTTTACGTAAAGAGTAGCGATGACAGAGTGGTGAAAGTTTGCTCAGGTCTTAGACCCTACTCGCAACGACACAAGACACTTGATAACGTTAAATAAGAGTTAACAGTACAGTGACGAACGACTCTTGAGATGCCACAAGAGTTTACCGTACAAGTACACACCGAGGTGCGCACCCCTTCTGTGTATATACACAGTTTATCTCTGAACAATGCCCAGAGCTAAAGTATTCTCGATTGTTGGTCAATAAGAACTTGTGTTTGTCTTAATAATCCTCCAGAGATTGACAGGCCTTTAGCCCAACACCAAACCGGAGAGAGACAAGAAGTTAGTCTTGTAAATACTGTATTATTGTTTCGATTACTGAGGGAGTGCTTCTTACGCGTGTGTGGTGCGCAAGTTTGATTTTCATGATGATTCTTCTGGCAGTGAAAGCTGCAGAGGCGAAACTAATAGAAAACTTAAGAGAAACAAATTTAACATTAAAGTTTGAAGTGGCAGTATTATTTGGCAAAAGTTATAACATTAACACAATATCATAGTTGTTTATATTGCATTAATTAATTTTAGTGGTAGTTCTTGGATATGTGAAAGGTATACATGTATTCCGCTACATTGTTTATACACACACAGTTGACTTTAGTTCAGGATTTTTTTCTGGAACTGAAGTATACTTATTAGATGGTCAATAAGCACTTGTGGTTGCCTTAATAATACTCCAGAGGTTGACAGGCATTAAACCCAACACCAATCCGAAGGGTGGGCCTGAGGAGGTGGGGTCTATGGCAGGGATCTTCAAACTGTGGGGCCCGACCCATTATATAGTGGGTCGCGGCAAACAAAACAAAAATAATAATAAACAAGTGTTAGCGACATTTTCATTCGCACTCATTACTCAGTACAATTTTATCAAAGGAAGTTCATTAAATATCAGAATATTTGAGATATTCTGATTAGAGATTGGAGCCTAATATAGCCACTTACTGTATCACACACAAGTTCCTTGGTTGTGGCGAGGCTTCATACTTAGCAGGATGTATGAACCAAGAACTGTGATGCATATTATTCTGGTTGAAATACAATCCCTTGGCACAATTTTGTTTAGGATATTTCCGTTACCAAATTGGCTTAACTTATATTTTTAGTATTCTTAACGATTTATACTTGAAACTTGAAAGAGAAAGCAGTAATATATTCCAACATATTGAATATATTGATGGGTTTCAGAGGATGTTAAGGCTACGGCAAGCAAGAATTAAGTGATCAACCTATTATTTTTCCAACATTGCTAAAAGACACTGCTCGGACCAGTGTCACTGAAGATATTTTAAAAGAATTGAAACACGAGATAGTCACATCTCATTTCTCTATCCCAAACCTTTATTAACGTTTCCAGTGCAGAACTTTGAAACAGTAAAGAAAAACCTTTGGATAGGAACTCCATTTGAGTTAAACTTTGATCCTGAAGAGAAAATGAATTGCTGCATCTTAGTAGTTCATTTACAATGAAGAATGATTCTGAGCAATTAAATGTATCATCATTTTGGATTAAGATTAAAGGAGAATTTCCACTTTTAAGTAAAAAGGATATAATGATAATATTACCTTTATCTACTTCTAATTTATGTGAACTAGGATTTTCCCACATGAACTCTACTAAAAACGCAAGAAACCAGCTCATCACTGCACCAGACATGCGTGTAGCATTGTCTTCCTGTGTCACAAATTGGTCAGCTGCACCAAACATCCTTCTCGTTAAATTAAAAGAAAAATGATTTTGCTAAAATTTCTTGCAAAATTTCTCTTATTTGTCTATAGTAAATAGAGGCAGTGCACAGTTAGTGTCCGGTT